ACTAAACTCAACTTGAATGAAGTCCAGGGAATCGACTTCATTCACCTGGTTTTATCACATTTTGCTTAAATCTCCATCAGCACAACAGCTAGCCGTCAGTGGAAAATATCGCTCAAAGTATGAACTTAGTAGATCCAGCGACCATCACCGTAAGATTTGAACCCAACGAGGCTGTTGATGACAAGAACTCACGACCTTCAGAAATCAGAGCAAAGTAGGTAACCAGTTAGCCACGCAATCCATTCATCAAAAGGAAAAGGCAGACGCACACAGAACATGTGTACTAGCCCTAATCCTTCACCACCTGTGTCGGCGTCGTCTCAAAGACGCACAAGTCCTTTGTCGTTCTTAGAAAAGGTATAAACGTATATACATTCTTCTTCTTCACGTTCACCAGCTGAAACTCCAGCGCAAAGTTCTAATTGTTCGTCTACTTATAGACTCTAGTCCTGTTCCAGAACCTGAGTGTTGCATGCATATCCGCTTTATCGTGTCATTTGTAGACAGACTTTTGGTTCCTCGACCCTCAGGCAGACGCACTCCTACATCGAAGTAAGGTCCCTATTAGACAACTCTTAAAATATGCTTCAGAGTAGGCAGTTGGTCTGTTGTTGTTATTTCCCTTAGAATGTTCCAGGAAGTCGCATGAGAAATATAAGGTTAAGGTTAGTTGCGTATCCTTTATAGAACTTTGCAGAACAAATCCTAGCAGCCCCTGACTGTTGTATGGTTTCTCTAGGAAAATTGACGTCCAGTAGTTTGTCATTGCTTTCTGGACGATCGGCCCCCTGATACCACAGTCAAAACCAACGCAAGGCTCATGGCTCGCAGGTGGAATCGAACCCGGCATTACGAACGAGAAAATATAGAAATAATTTTTTTTCCTCGTGAAACACAATACCGACATTTTTTTTTCTCCCACTAAATATTCCAGACTAATGCTGACATTATGTGTGGTAAGAAAGGGCACCTTTTCAATAGAAAGGTACTTTATTTTTAAATCTTCTCAACAAAAGAAATCACCGAGTTTCCGTGAAAGTCCAGTACTATAGGGTCTTTTGGTTAGTCACGACCGCCAGAGACACTGACTAAGCCTATCCCTAGCCCTAATCCCTAATCCTTAGCCCTAATCAGAACCCTAACCCCAATCCACAATACCACGAGAATATTGTACTTTGACGGAAACTCCTGGATTTCCTTTGTTTGTGGTGGATTAAAAAGGAAGTGTCAAAAAACAAAACAAGAAGCCTGTTTAGACTATTAGTCACACAGTCGGTGCAGACGAGGCAGATATTTCGGTTATAATATAAAGTAAATGCTTTCAGTAATAGTTAATGGCAATGTATACAAGAACACAAAGTCTCTTATCACATTTCAAACTTTATTATTTGAAGTAAAAATTCCCTAAACTTCGGCAAAACTTCTTACATATCACATGGTGATGATGATGATGATGATTATTATTCACAGAAGTACTTAGATTATACATTTGTGATGTTACAGTTTGTAGAAAAATTAAAAGTTTTTAATGGATCATTTGCACCTTTCCGTCTTTCCAGACGATAGTTTTATATTGCGCTATGAGGAGGCATGGGACTCACAACCCATGGCAATGGCGAGTGTGACTAGCAAGACCTGCCCGTGTCAAGAAAAGTCTTCCACAATGATAGCATGGGATTTCAGGACCATTGTTAACAAGATTTGTGTTTAATCCGTTTCTTCTCAGACGCTCAGCTCTCATCCTTTCTGCATTCTTTTCTTCCTTCAGTCTCATTCCCTTCCTGATATGCCCTTTCCACACAACACGGTCCATGGCATTTTGTTCCCATGAGTCCGCCTCAATACCTGTATCATTCATGTTCCGCTTGCATACATCTTTATAACGTAGTAGAGGTCGGCCTCGACATCTTCTTCCTATCTTTAATTCACCATAAAGGATGTGCTTAGGGACTCTGCCATCCTCCATTCTCCAGGTGTGATCCAGTCACCTGAGACTTCGTAGACTGAGCATGGAAAAGACTGTTGCAGTACCTGCTCTTTCCAGTACCTCAGTGTTTGTTATTTTGTCCTGCCACTTAATGCCAAATATTCTTCTTAGGCATCGCATGTGAAAGCTATTAAGCGGTCCGTTTTGGTGCCAATAGGTTGACCAAGTTTCATTGCCATAAAGCAGAGTGCTGAGAACACAAGCTTGATAGACAAGGTTTTTGTCTTAATTGTGAGCTTTCTGTTCTCCCAGACTCTCTTTGTCAATCTGCTCATTGTTGTTGCTGCCTTACCTATCCTGATGTTGTTTTCTTGGTCTAGCGATAGTTTACTATTCACTGTGGAACCCAGATAGGTAAAATGGTTTACTGTCACAAGGTCTTCATCGTAAATATAGACTGTAGGTCTGTCATTGACACCTTGCACCAAAACCTTTGTCTTCTTTTTGCTGACTGTTAGTCCAAATTCACAGCACGCATCAGCAAAGGCAGATAGTAAACATTGCAGCTCCTCCTCTGAGTGGGTGGTTATTGCCGCATCATCTGCAAACAGCAGCTCTCTGATAAGTACCTTTCTTATTCTGGTTTTGGCCTTCAGCCTGCGTGCATTGTAAAGGCTGCCGTCAGATCGAGAATTAATGAAAAGTATATTCCAAAGAGGGCAGGAGCCAGTACACACCCCTGCTTCACTCCACTTTTGATTAAAAACTCTTCCGATGTTTCACCATCAAAGCTGATTATACCTTACATACCTGTGTGGAACGACTCAATAATACTCAGTAGAGTAGGTGGACACCCAATCTTCTTTAGTGCACTGAACAGACCTTTTCGACTAACCAAATCAAATGCTTTGGTAAGATCAATAAAAGCAGCATACAGTGGTTGATTTTGTTAGCGGCATTTTTCCTGCAGCTGACGTAATGAAAATATCATATCAGTAGTAGATCGGTTCCCACGAAAGCCACACTTGGACTCTGGGTAAATGCGATCCCCCAGGATCTGGAGTCTTCGCAAAACAATTCTCGCGAGCACTTTTGCAACAGTACACAGCAGTGATGTGTCCCTGTAGTTATTGCAGTCACTCTGATCACCCTTGTTCTTGTACATAGTTATGATGTTTGCATCTTTGAAATCTTGCGGAACCTCTCCCTCTTGTCAGCAGAGTGTTATTAGCTGATGGACGTGTGGGGTTAGAATGTCTGTCCCAGTCCTGCTGATTTCAATAGGAATTCCGTCTCTGTCTGGTGCTTTCCCTGAAGCAAATTCGCCAATAGCATTCCTAACTTCTACAACTGTTGGAAATGTGTCCAGATAGTCAAGAGTTGGTAGCGTCCCCATGACATTAAGAGCACCATCTGCTAGTTTAGTATCAACTGAGTAAATCTCCAGATAATGTTCCACTCATCTATCTAGCTGCTTCTTCTTGTCATTAATAATCTCCCCTTTTAAATTCTTTAGTGGTGCACTTTTTTTAATTGTAGGACCGATGGCCTTCTTGATTCCCTCATACATGCCTCTAACATTACCACCACTGCTAGCATTCTGAATGCTTTCACATAGCTGGATCCAGTAGTTAATAGCACACTGCCTAGCTACCTTTTGCAAATGATTTCTAGCTGCTCTTAAGTCAATGAGAGTGTTCCTTGTATTTAGATGCTGTCAGATATAGAAATTGATTTCACTGCGTTATCCTGTTCCTCATAAAAAGAGTCTTTTGCGTCTTGTGCTGACCTTAGAGTGGGTGCATATGCAGTAACAAAGGTAATAAACCGCTTGAGGTAGACAATCGTAGGGATAATATTCTGTCACTTCCTCCAGCTGGACTTTCAACTGATCCTAACAATAAATTCTTCACTGCAAATCCCACTCCAAACATCCAGATTTCTTCCTGGCCTCTGCCCTTCCAGGAAAAATGTATAGTTATTTTCTCTAATAGACACATCCTCTGGCAGACGGGTTTCTTGTAGGCCAGCAATATCTATGTCAAGTTTGTTGAGTTCGGCATCAATGATAGCCATTTTTCTCACATCAATAATGTTTTCCAGGTCAGTGGAAAACCCTGGACACATGGTCCTCGTCCACATTCTGTCTACTGTCTCCATCACCTTAATCACAACTCACCCTTTGTGACTTCAGAACTGTTTTGTGGTCCCATAATATAAGAGTGTTGTGTTTCCCGAAGCTTGGGGTTATGTTTCTTTTTATTGCCTGGTGCATTGGTTTTACAGCCTGCAGCTCGGATTTTGTCCTAGCTCCAAGCTCCCACTGAAGCATGCAAGCTGTGGCGGATCAACACCTTATTGGCTGGGGGCTGCCTAGCTTAAGGGGTGAGATAGTTGATCAGTGACATTCGAAGATGTCTCCCACCGTCAGAGGCAACCCGTGGCGCCACTCTCTACGCTAACTGCCAAGGACTTATAACCCGTAACTGCTGCCTCTCGATTTGTTTCCGAGACCGATTAAGGCCAGGGATAAGTTCCTCCTCTCCATAGCACAAAGCGGCAGTATTATAGAGACCATATGTTGCCCATGCATAATGATCCCGCCCTCGACCTGCCTTGTTTACTCCAAAGGTAAAAGCAGTACGTTCGGAACGAGGCAGGTTGCAGAAGCTGCCGGATAAGAATAGCAGTGCTCTATCTGTCCGCCTGTCAAAGCTTCTCTCCTAGACCAGCTGCCAGCCAAGGCGAAGGGCCTGGTCTGCTCTGCCATAACACAAAGTTTTCAGATTGCATTTCCTCTTCCTAGGATAAGGCTAGTATCCTCCCCAATGCGCTCCTCCGCCCGAAGCCGTTGACACAATATGGAATGTTTGATTAGTATACCCCGCCCAACATTCGGCGTAACAGAAGACAGGTGATACCGACTACTGTTATACGGTAGCTCAGTCATATCTGACCAAGACCCGACCCCTTTTTAATGGATAGAGTTTATTCAAATATCGTTTTAAAAAAATGTTTACATTTTCTCAAGTTTTTTTTTTCTTTCTATTGTTTCAACGTTAACTGTATGTTATCATTTAAGACAACCGATGCTGTGAAAATAATCAGCTTTCTTGTTATCTCTGCGGAAGATGATATACTGTGGTAAATCTGTCGCGGGGCGAACAATTCTGTACATCTTCGAGCCGTACAAAGTGGCAGTTATAATTGTCAACGCTGATTGGTCGAACCTATACCAGGGGATAGAAAAGGTAAACATTGCAAAAGGAGATTATTTGTAAACATTTAATGAAACTAAATTTGTACATACAAACCATTTGATCAAATCTAATCAACATTAAAGCGTAATGAAGACCACTTGAAGTATATATATATATATATATATATATATATATATATATATATATATATATATATATATAAAATCATCATCAGGTGCCTTGCCGACTGGCGTGGGCGATCATGCCTCTATATAATCTGCGATCCCCTGCAATATGTATCAGTCCGTGTGCCGACACACCTCCATGCCATGCAACAAGACTGTCAAGCATCTTCTCTCGTTGTCTTCCTATGTCTCTCCTTCCACATATCTTTCTAGTGGTCACAACATGTTCTATTTTCCGTCTTCTCATAACATGGTCGAAAAATGATGCTGTCTCTTTCTAATGTCTGTGATAAGTTGTCTTCGGGCTCCCGCCTCTTTCAAAACCTCTTGGTTTCTCTTTTTGGCTGCCCAAGTATTTCTAAGCATTCTTCTGTAAAACCACATCTCCGAGGCCTTCAGAAATTGTTTGGCCTGCCTACCGATTATCCAGGATTCACAGCCATATGTTAAAACTGGATGTATGTAGCAAGCAAGAATTCTTTTTCTAACTCTCAATGACAAGGATATAATGCACAAGATGTTTTTCATTTTATAAAATGCAGTTTTTGCCTGTCCTATTCTATTTCTCATCTCAGTAATGCATTTTCCATCTGATGTTATCCATGTGCCCAGATACTTACATTTCTGTACTTGTCCTAAAATAACACCATCAACTTTTATTACACTTAGGAATAATTCGTTTCTTTGATACCACCATTACTTCTGTCTTCCCATTATTCAAACTGAGGCCCATTATTTCACTTTCTAACACCACAATGTCTATCATTTCCTGTAGTTCTTTCTGACTTGTTGCTATCAAGACTGTGTCAACAGCATAACATAAATTGTTTATATTGTGCCCACCAACCACGATTCCGGGCATACCAATTAAAGCTCTTATCATATATTCACTGGATATTGAAAACAAATCAGGCGACAGTACACATCCTTGTCGTACGCCCTCTTTATGCTTTGAAATGTACCTAAACAGTTGTTAATTCTTATAGCTGCTGTTTGCTGCCAATACAAATTCTTTATTATTCGTAGATCTTTCCCGTCAATGTTTAATTTTTCTAACAGTTTGATTACTTCTTCATGCTTCACACTGTCACATGCTTTTGTATAGTCTATGAAGCATATGTACAAATCAGTCTTTACTTCTATAGCTCTTTCTGACAATGTCCTTAGGATGTATATGACATTGTTTGTACCTTTTCCTTCTACAAATCCAATTTGTTCATCACTGATTTCTAGTTTAATTTTTTTTTTCTTATTCTTCTCATAATTATTCTCAGTAAAATCTTAGTCATGTAACTCATATTACTTATTGTGCTATGGTCTTCACATTTTATAGTGCCTGGTTTCTTAGGCAGAGCTATAAACATGGATTTTAAAAAGTCATTTGGAATATTTCCACTGTTATAAATATCATTTAAAAGTTTAGTTATTATTTCAATTCCAAAATCTCCCAGTGCTTAGATTTCTTCCACTGAGATGTTGTCTGGCCAGGGTGCTTTTCCTTTCTTAATATGATGTATTGCATCCTCAACTTCTGCAGTCATTATTGGTGGACCATCATTGTTGGTCTACAGTTCTAGATCTGGTCTATTATCATCATACAATTCCCCTATATACTCTGTCCATCTGTTAATTATATTACTATGTCCCATTAATAAGTCACCATCTTTTGATTTCAAACATCCAGTGCTGTTACGTGTCATCTTTCCTGTTAACATATTTATCTTTTGGTACATGGAATGTGAGTCTTGCCTGATGTTTTCCCCAATCTCTGTACACATTTGATTCAGCCAGGCTTCTTCAGCCACTTTGCATTTGTTCACTATTTCTTTTTGTATTCTAAAAGTATTCTTCTTTATCATTCTTTTTCTTCCTTCTTTCATCCATCAATTGCAAAATTTCGGTTAAAATCCATTTCTTTTTTTTTTTTTTTTGCAACTCTATGGGTTGGTGGGATTGTCTCTTTAGATGTCTGCTGAATTGACTCACGTAACATAACCCACTGTTCGTCAATAGTCTGTATAATTTCTATTGGCATTATACCGGTTTTGTACAGTGACATTGTACTGGTCCTTAATTTCTTTATCTGTTCTAAGAATTCCTAAATTTAACTTGATGTTTTGTGGTGTTTTTCTAATGTTCTTTAGTTTTATTCTAATTTTTCCTACAACTGGAACATGGTCACTAAAGCAGTCTGCTCCTGGTCTAGTTTTTGCTCCAACTAAGCTGCTCTGGAATCTTCTTGAAATCAAAATATAATCCATCTGATTGCGGACATTATCACCAGGATTTTTCCAAGTCCAAAATCTTCGAGGATGGTGTTTAAACCAGGTGTTACCTATTATCATGCTGCGTGAATCAGCCCATGCTATTAATCTGTCAACTCTCACATTCTTTTCTCCTAGGCCATAGCCACCCGTTATTCCGTACACTTTTTCACTTCCTATTTTGGCGTTGAAATCTCCAAGTACAATTGTTACTTATATATATATATATATATATATATATATATATATATATATATATATATATATATATATAATTAATAATGGCTTATGACTTGTAACAGCTAAGATAAGAAACACCATGGGAAAGGGAGAATCGGACAGGGAAGGCCGTCAAAATAATTCTGTGCATAGGGCTAAAATACTTTACAAAATCTACGATGATTCATATATTGCACATAAAGATACAGCTGGGGAAAAATAATATATGCATACGTGTAGGTGACGCGGCGTCCGTGGCTTAGGCGATGCGAGTTCGACTCGTAATTCCAATGTACCGCAATCGAAACCCACTGCTGGCTGCGTGGAATTTTATCATGGTATGGGGCGTCGCAGGTCGACCCAGGCTAAAATCGATACCAGGATGGCAGTCCTGGGAAAGTAGAGACGGCCGGCGTAATGCTGACCACATTACCCACCTAGTGCCGATGGTCTGAAAAAATTATGGGCGCTCTTCCCATATACCCGATGCGCCTAAAGGCGGGAAAAGGGATCTTCATTACTTTTTTTTTATATGTGTAGGTAGGTGCCTGCCTATGTTAGTTAGTCAGTTGCTTCTTCTTTTTTCTTCTTCTTCTTCTTCTTCTTCTTCTTCTTCTTCTTTTCTTCTTCTTCTTCTTCTTCTTCTTCTTCTTCTTCTTCTTCTTCTCTTCTTCTTCTTCTTCTTCTTCTTCTTCTTCTTCTTCTTCTTCTTCTTCTTCTTCTTCTTCTTCTTCTTCTTCTTCATCTTCTTCTTCTTCTTCTTCTTCTTCTTCTTCTTCTTATTATTATTATTATTATTATTATTATTATTATTATTATTATTATTATTATTATTATTATTATTATTATTATTATTATTTTCTAGCCCCTAATGCAGCATTGACCCTCAACCAACTCACGCCAAGTCGTTCTTTCCTTCGCTATCGCATGCAGCTCTCACCATGTCTTCCCCATCTTTCTAATTTCCTTCTACGGCTCTTTTCTTCATGTGATTTTTGACCTTCCTTTATTCCTATGCCCCTGTTTGTTTCAAATCAAAGACATTCAAGTTATGCTGTTCTCATGTTTTCTCAATGTGTGTCCTATCCAACGCCAGCGTCTTTTCCTCACCTCTTTGTCCACTGTAGCTTGTTTAGTTCGCTCCCAAAGCTCTACATTCGTTATTCTATCATACCATTTAATTCCCTTTATTCTTCGCAGGCACCAGTTAATGAATGTCTGTAATTTATTAGTAATTACCTTAGTTGTTCTCCATGTTGCCACCCCATAAAAAAGAACTGATTTGACATAAGCATTAAACATTTCAAGTTTAGTATTTCGTTTGATTTCTTTTGACCTCCACAAATTCCCTAGTGCTATGAAAGCTCGTCTTGCCTTTTGTATGTTTTTTTTTTCTTTTATATCTCGATCAGTTCCCCCATCTTAATCTACATCACTGGCAAAATAGGTTTACGACTCCAAGCCTTGGAGTGGGGTGCCATTAAGAGAAACCACGTTACTATTTTGATGATTTGTTCTCATTATCTTTGTCATTCCTTTATGGATTTTCAGACCTAGTCTGTCAGTTAGTTGCGTTTTTATTTTTATTTTTTTATTAAATAATTTTAAAAAAAAAGGCCTATGACTTGTAACAACTAAAAATAGACAGAACAGGGGGAAAGGGAAATCGGACGGGGTAGGGACCGTCAGGATAATTATGTGCAAAGGGCTAACATACTTTACAAAATGTTCGACGATTCACATATTGCACATAATGATACAGCTGGCGAAACATCATATATGCATATGTGTAGGTGGGTGCGTGCGTATGCTAGTTAGTTAGTCAGTTAGTCAGTTGGGTTATCATAATTGAACTCCGAACATCTCCATAGGTGCTCAGATCTTCCCCTTAGTATGAACCCCAGCGTTCGGTGGCTAATGGTACCAGTTCTATGTTTATTAAGAAGTCCTCTGATGTTCCTGGTGTGCGTCCTGTTTTTTGCTCTGCCTATCTTGCCTGCTAAGTCTAGCTTTCTAGCGAGCGACGAGGGTTCGCTGCGTCCTCCTTTCCCATTTCTCGGAGGGCATTGATAATATTGGCATGATCCATAGGCTGACTTTCGGTAGTGATCCAGCCAACCTATCAGTTCTTAAATGCCAGCATGCCCGCGTGTTAGAATTAAAATAAAGGTGACCACCCACAGTGGACCTCTGTAATGATTCAAGCCTTTGCATTGGCGTCGAACCTGCCGAGAACCTTCTGAGTCATACTCTTTGAATCACTGAGTACAATGCTCGGGTGTAGTTTTGTGTTTCGAGGCCACCCGAACGCTTGTGTTACTGCCATCACCCCCATCGTCCTGCTGCTGGTTGTCATGGAGAAGGCGCCGTTGGCCGCCTTGACTGTTCTGCCCTCAGAGCGTCCTGTGAAAGCCCATGCTTACTTTGTTGGCGTATAACGGATCCGTCTGTCTAGATCAGTACATCTGCCTCGTCTGAATTCTCACTGATGAGAACTTTGACCTCTACATTGACAACAACAAGGTTTCTGCTCTCTGCATCGCCTGTAGAGTTTGGCATACAGGAAAATGTTCAAATAAACGCATAAGGCACGGGTATCCACTCTGCACTAGGGATCATGTCGGTAAGGCTACATATTTGCTTAATAACATTTTTTGCCTGATTTAGCTATAATTGTCCCATCTTCAGCACATTACCCTGTCCACTAAAAAGCACTTATGCAGTAGGCGTTTCTAATCAGAGCATTTTTTTTTTAAAGTAGGTATAGCGATGGGTCGTTTTGTTTCGTTTTTTTTTTTTTTTTTTTTGCTATACATTTTCATGCGTAACTAGAGATGCGACCGCGTCCAAAAAAAAAGCAATCCGAATTGACCGTTATTCAGAAATTATTTTTCCGTGCCCTTTACGTGAAAGATCAAATCAGAACAGTTATAAAGAGTTTTTGGAGAGATGCTAGGCTCTGACTTGAGATGGTTATGACGCGTATAAAATAAATCGATTTTATTTTTTAGGCAGCACGCAGTAAATTAACGGTAAGTAATTTCGTTAACATCTTCCTAATTAGCCAGAAATCCGCAATTTATGGTGTATTTTTGAATTCTGCGTTAATTTTTATATAAGTATGGGAAATTTCACAAGGATTGGCTGAGCGCAAATGTTGAAAAAAAAAAATTTGTGGCATCACTGTTTTCGTTTTAAATCCAATATGTTTGCACTAGGAGACCGTTTGCCCCGCTTTATAATTAACTTAAAATAATTATTAAATCAGCTAACGTTATTTCAATTATTTTTTTTAAATCAACAACCATTATAGCATTTCCTCATGCATCTGGCATTATATAGAGCTCTACGTATTTTTTTTTTTGGAGATATTTTTTCCTGATCACCCCCAAATCCCAATAATTAATTTCGGCCATCATTGTATATTTTCTAAGATGATTCTTTAGTTATTACCTTTAGATACTTAGTAAATTAATAATGTTAAGCGATCTACTTTTTAAACATCTACAACTCTTGTAGCATTTTTTTTTAAATGCGTCTGTTATTATTTAGAATCCACGGAATTTTCTGTCGGAATCGGTAAATCTAAGCGGTCGAGAAACAACAGCAGCGCTGACCGCGTACTCGTCCATCAGGCCTGCCAGTACTTGGGCTTTCCCCCAAGAACTGGGTTTTTATACGATACCTTGGGTTAAGATTTTAGAATCTTGGTAAACATATCCTTATATAAAAGTGGGTAAATATTTCATTTCGTAACTATAAATTAACTATAAAATATGTACTATTTATCAATTTTAGGTGGGGTTTTTTTTTTTTTTTTGCCAATATATTGCTTGGGTTTTTGGTTAGCTTAGCTTCGGTTTTGACTAAAATCCCATTGGCATCCCTCCCATGCTTGGCTGTCCGCGTGTGGCTGCTATAGATCCATTTCTTACATTTAATGCTGGGTGAACATGGGAGCCAAGGTCATTTTTGAAAGAAAAGAAAATCCGGCCTGAACTGATTCCCAGAAATGAACACACCTGTTGTGTTTGCCCTGTTGTTAACGCTGTTGACGTGACCTAATTAAACCAATGGGTCACCTACCTATTATGAAAACAGGACGTGTACTACCAGTGGACTCATGTTTTCTTTTACCATACAGAACGAAGAGTTGGGGGAGGGGGAGTAGAAGATTGAGAGAAAGTTGAGAAAGAGGGAGAGCAGGAGGAGGAGAGAGGAAGAAAAAAAGAGACTAAGAAAAGAAAGTCGGCACTGAGACATGGGAAAAAAGAAAGGAAAGGAAAAAGAAAGAAAGAAGATGAGAGATACCAGGGGAAGAAGGTAGCAGAAGGGGGTGCGGCCACCCCTGTACATTCACTGTGGGGGGAGGGGGGGTCCGGTATTGGTTAATTAGGTCACGTCATCTGACATTGACACATTTATATGATCTTTATGTTCGCCTTGTCAGGACACACAATATGATATGTATTAAGCCAAGCTCGTTGGCAGACAACTGTAAATGTATAAGGTTTATGATGAAAAATAATCAGCCTGCAGACATTTTCATATGTTAAATAGGCGCATATTGTAGTGAATGTATTTGAGACATGCATAAAAATAATCAACGATTGCAGACATATTCATTGCTAAAATTCGTTCAGAAACAAAAATATTGTAGCCGTAAAATGTATTTGAGACATTTCATCATGGGTCGCAAAAAGTTAGGTCTCACTGTCCCGATGGCGGAAGGTTCCAGAAATAAATGCAGTTGCTAAGGGATTCGTTCAGATGCGCTCCGAACAAAAAAGTTATTAGCCGTAAAATACAACATGCTTTTGAAGCATCATTTCATGTTTTACTGGGGCCCGCATCCGGGAATCCATGTTTTGTGTGTTTCCAATATAATTTTTCTGTGGTTGTACCCGCCACTAAAATGTTAATGTCTCCGCTTAGAATATACTTACAGGCTTAAATAAACTACCATTGGATTTGTAATTTCAATCTTTATCTAGCTGTCATGATTTCGTAAGTAAAAACCCAAAATATAAAACTTCACTAGCATCCGCATTTTTAGGTTTGCCCCCCCCCCCCCCCCCCCACCATCCTTCCAACCCTAATCATTTGACTCATAGTTGGAAAGTCAAGCAAATATCTTGTTTATACACAGGAAGTGTATCGTGTACATCCCAATATATTGCGCACTGCTTCATGTTGCAAATTTTCAAGTCCTTCAGTCTGCGTAACACTGACAGTGAGGATGGACAGAACATATTCCAATGGGGAAAATGGGAGTGCGTATCTATTACTTAAGATAAACTAGAGTAAAATATTAAGTGCCTTGCCTAGTATGAACTAAAGTAGAATACTATACCCGTTTTCTTAAACACGTAGGGTGAATTAAAGTAGAATATATTGTCAACCTTCTGTGTTATTGAGGATGAACCGAAGCGGTTTAATTTCTGAATTATGAAGTAGGAAGTAAATTGATGAAGCAAAGTAAATTATATCAGATGAATGTACTTAGCAGAAAAAAAAAAAAAACTGAAGAAGAACACAATATAAGTTTTCAGTATTTCATTAGAAGAACTCAAGTATAATGCAATGTAAGACTGTTGTTGCATAGGAAGAGTTAAAATGAATGATTAGTTTTCAGTCAGTATTACCTGTGACAAGGCCCGTAATGACATTCGAGGGAAGGTATTGTGTCCCTCGGGGACATGCACTTCTCTTCAAAGGCACATCTGGCCCAGGGATTGGTCACGGCTGTAAGTACAAACGGATCATGCTTGTATACACCAAATGTTGCTGCAATCTCTGGGTAGGGACTGAAGCTGCATACATTCTGCCCAAAGTAAGCGAACGTCTGAAAACACCAGGTTGGAGAAAATGTGTACATACTTCTACTTCACATTTAAACTTTTGTTATAATGTTATTAAGTTAATTTTTTTTTATTTTTTTTTAAATTTTAATCTAAGGATGGTTGAAAAAAAAAAAAAAAAAAACAGTGGCATGCCGAATCGATGTAGCTGTTTCCGCACGGCCCGAATCGCTATGAGTTCATTCGTCTCTTCTCATTCAGTGCCAATGAACTCATCTGGCATTCATTGCTTGCTACTTGATATATTTTTCTATTCACTTATTCTTTATGAAACTTCTTGGCCTTCTCTTTCTCATGCAGTTTCTACTTCATTTTTGTTTCTACTTCTTCTTCTTCTTCTTCTTCTTCTTCTTCTTCTTCTTCTTCTTCTTCTTCTTCTTCTTCTTCTTCTTCTTCTTCTTCTTCTTCTTCTTCTTCTTCTTCTTTCTCTTCTTCTTCCGCAGGCGAGGGGCTAGCCAATAGACCACGGTGGCTCCCACTGAAATCGATCAAATCTAATTAATCTATGGACCGAACCAGAAACACATTTCATACATTTTTTTTTAAGTTTTTTTTTTTTTTTTTTTCTTTTTTTTTTTTTTCACTTTTTGAATTGATTTTGATGTCACACACATTTATAATATATAATATAGGCATAATTTTACCTTTGTGATTGACAGTTTCTGGCATTGGTAGATTGTGGAGGAGCAGGAGGGCTACTCCTTCCATGAGAATCCCATTCCATATTAAGAAATGCAGACAGCCCAGACTGCAAATGAGACTTTTTACAGTAGAACATCTATGAGGAAAGTGACAGGAAGACCACGAAAGAGACGGATGAAGAGTGGACCTGAAACCTGCAGAAAACATATCCATCACTCAAACCATCCGAAAAGCTCAAGACAAGCACAGAAAAACCACGAAACCGAAGCCATATTTGTGCGTTCGTGCGCAAAGTTGTTTGGTCTGCGGGTCGAGTCAAAATTTGCTCATAAATTGTGTTCGTGGCCTGATTTGTTCGTGACTAAAGGCTTTCATGGCCTGTACTCACTTTATTAGACAAACTTGATGTGAGAAATTGAAAATAACAGGCAAAGGAAAGATTAAGTCGGTGATTATTGCGCATGAAAAAAAAATAAGTTGATGAACAGTATTGATAAAATCTACACACACACACACACACACACACATATATATATATATATATATATATATATATATATATATATATATATATATATATATATATATATATATATATATATATATATATATATATATAGCCAAAATAAGAAATGTCAGAAATATTTGGAATGTCATTATATCCAGAGTCTGTTGAGTGTCGATATACCCAGCGTCTTTGGAGTCTCGTAATATCCAGCGTCTGTGGAGTCTAATAATATCCAGCGTCTGTGGAATGTCAATATATCAGCGTCTGTGCAATGTTATTGTATCCAGCGTCTGTTCAGTGTCATTATATCCAGCGTCTGTGCAGTGTCATTATGCCAGCGTCTCTTCTATGTCATTATATCCAGCGTCTGTTCAGTGTCATTATATCCAGCGTCTGTGCAATTCGTTATGTCCAGCGTCTGACCCAGACACATCCGCGCACAAAGAAACGGAAAACAATCCTAATAGTGAAGTAATCTCACTTCATGGCATGGAATATGAACGGAGGCTGAGTGGTCTCGAGGCATTGCGTCGGACACCAATGCTGGAGGTCCCGGGTTCAGAACCTGCTGAATCGTGGGAATTTTTTGCAAGGACTTCTAGTAATTTCCTCATGGTCTCTAGGTAGTGGGATCAGGTGTCGTGTGTATTGTTGCGCACGTAGAAAAATCCCCTGGCAGTTGGAAATCCCTGCCCAGGAACAATTTTGAATTAAAAATCTACACAAAGTATTTCACCGGAGTTCGTGCACTGCCCTGCGATTTTTCGGACTCAGGTTTGTTAGAAGTAGAACGAAGCACTTATAGGTTACTACCCTTGTGCCATGATGGTGATCCGTTGTATAAAACAAACCAAACCAGACATGGAAAAACGCAAAACACAACTGGTCTGGTAACATTGCGGGCTGAGTTGGAAATCACATACAGATACTAATGATTATGGAGATAGCTAAATTCCAAGCAATCAATAAATGGGGTGCCTTTTGATGTCTTTCAACTAATTGGAACGCAGGCGTCAAGAGGGATAGGTAAAAGGAAGTCCCTTACCAGACACTGTCTTTGAAATATGAGCTGTTCTCAAAATGTCTAGGCTAGAACAGAGAAGACTGAGGAGCCAGGCCCATTCCTTGTCGCCTTTCATTACCAGATACTAGGAAAATCATTCTGATGAAGCTGAAACTACTCAAAGCTTTCTATGACTCTTTTCCCACCAGCGACTTATCTAGTATATGATGCTAGATCCATTTTTATAACTCAGTCGTCATTCAGGTGGTGACGTGGTCAACATCACGTGGGCCTCCTTTACTTCCCACCTGACACCTATTTTAGGATAGCTCGAACTGGGAGTCAAGATCACTTCTAGAGAACAAAATATGTCTGACTCAATGCTCATTCGATCTTTAAACCTTCGGATCGGCTGGCGAGCGTCTAGCCGCGTCGCTACCGTAGCTCCGATAAACTTTATAAATCGAAAATAGAAAGCATCTGTCTGCTGAAGATTGAGCCCCGACTACACTCGTGGCAGGAATAACCCAATCGGCATGCCACTGCAGCTGTTGATACAGAAATAGAGAGGCCTACAGCAATCTATTTAAAACTGGATAAAACTGGGTGTCAAGATAATTGCTGAAAAAGAAGAAAATAAGGCTTTGTTCGGATATGAACCCATCACCTTAGGATCTGCAAGTAAGGATTTAGTCGCCACACTATTGCGGCTTCTATGTTCCTAACACGGAAAAATATGGGAGACAAAATTATATGTACTAACCTCTGGAAGAGTATAGTGTACAGTTGTGGCCGTCATCCCAAAATCTCTGACCAGTTGCACTCCAAGGTGCATCGCCCTCTCAAACAGTGGACCAGGAAAACGCACGTACCTGATGCTTGCGTCCTGCCAAACCACGTACTTTCTGGCACGTAATTGGGTAATCTGGTTTTTTTTTTTTAAGTGAAAAAGTTTTTATTATGTAATAAACAAAATTTAGACTGGACCATACCTAAATTGTGCTAAACAATTGTTTTTTGTTTTTGTTTTTTACAATTTTTTTTTTAAAGAAAAAAATATATTTTATATTAGAAAAGTGAACTGTGCAATATGTATGTTGTTTATATTAGAAAAGTAAACTGGGCCATATGTATGTCGTTTATATTAGAAAAGTAAACTGGGCCATATGTATGTCGTTTATATTAGAAAAGTAAACTGGGCCATATGTATGTCGTTTATATTAGAAAAGTAAACTGTGCAATATGTATGTCGTTTATATTAGAAAAGTAAACTGGGCCATATGTATGTCGTTTATATTAGAAAAGTAAACTGTGCAATATGTATGTCGTTTATATTAGAAAAGTAAACTGGGCCATATGTATGTCGTTTATATTACAAAAGTAAACTGGGCCATATGTATGTCGTTTATATTAGAAAAGTAAACTGGGCCATATGTATGTCGTTTTATATTAGAAAAGTAAACTGGGCCATATGTATGTCGTTTATATTAGAAAAGTAAACTGGGCCATATGTATGTCGTTTATATTAGAAAAGTAAACTGGGCCATATGTATGTCGTTTATATTAGAAAAGTAAACTGGGCCATATGTATGTCGTTTATATTAGAAAAGTAAACTGGGCCATATGTATGTCGTTTATATTAGAAAAGTAAACTGTGCAATATGTATGTCGTTTATATTAGAAAAGTAAACTGGGCAATATGTTTGTCGTTTATATTACAAAAGTAAACTGGGCCATATGTATGTCGTTTATATTAGAAAAGTAAACTGGGCCATATGTATGTCGTTTAAATTAGAAAAGTAAACTGTGCAATATGTATGTCGTTTATATTAGAAAAGTAAACTGGGCCATATGTATGTCGTTTATATTAGAAAAGTAAACTGGGCCATATGTATGTCGTTTATATTAGAAAAGTAAACTGGGCAATATGTATGTTGTTTATATTAGAAAAGTAAACTGGGCAATATGTATGTCGTTTATATTAGAAAAGTAAACTGGGCCATATGTATGTTGTTTATATTAGAAAAGTAAACTGTGCAATATGTATGTCGTTTATATTAGAAAAGTAAACTGGGCCATATGTATGTCGTTTATATTAGAAAAGTAAACTGGGCCATATGTATGTCGTTTATATTAGAAAAGTAAACTGGGCCATATGTATGTCGTTTATATTAGAAAAGTAAACTGGGCCATATGTATGTTGTTTATATTAGAAAAGTAAACTGTGCAATATGTATGTCGTTTATATTAGAAAAGTAAACTGGGCCATATGTATGTCGTTTATATTAGAAAAGTAAACTGGGCAATATGTATGTCGTTTATATTAGAAAAGTAAACTGGGCCATATGTATGTCGTTTATATTAGAAAAGTAAACTGTGCAATATGTATGTCGTTTATATTAGAAAAGTAAACTGGGCCATATGTATGTCGTTTATATTAGAAAAGTAAACTGTGCAATATGTATGTCGTTTATATTAGAAAAGTAAACTGGGCCATATGTATGTCATTTATATTAGAAAACTAAACTGGGCCATATGTATGTCGTTTATATTAGAAAAGTAAACTGGGCAATATGTATGTCGTTTATATTAGAAAAGTAAACTGTGCCATATGTATGTCGTTTATATTAGAAAAGTAAACTGGGCCATATGTATGTCGTTTATATTAGAAAAGTAAACTGTGCCATATGTATGTCGTTTATATTAGAAAAGTAAACTGGGCCATATGTATGTCTTTTATATTAGAAAAGTAAACTGTGCAATATGTATGTCGTTTATATTAGAAAAGTAAACTGGGCCATATGTATGTCGTTTATATTAGAAAAGTAAACTGTGCCATATGTATGTCGTTTATATTAGAAAAGTAAACTGGGCCATATGTATGTCGTTTATATTAGAAAAGTAAACTGGGCCATATGTATGTCGTTTATATTAGAAAAGTAAACTGGGCAATATGTATGTCGTTTATATTAGAAAAGTAAACTGGGCCATATGTATGTCGTTTATATTAGAAAAGTAAACTGTGCCATATGTATGTCGTTTATATTAGAAAAGTAAACTGGGCCATATGTATGTCGTTTATATTAGAAAAGTAAACTGGGCCATATGTATGTCGTTTATATTAGAAAAGTAAACTGGGCCATATGTATGTCGTTTATATTAGAAAAGTAAACTGGGCCATATGTATGTCGTTTATATTAGAAAAGTAAACTGGGCCATATGTATGTCGTTTATATTAGAAAAGCAAAATGGGCCATATGTATGTCGTTTATATTATGTGGTCAGCATCACGCCAGCCGCCTTTACGTTCCAGAACTGCACCTGATACCCACTCTTGCTGGGTCAACCAGGGAGCCAAGGTCATTTAAAAAAATGTTAGGCTCCACCGGGAAGCGATCCAACGACCTTCCGATCCGCAGGCGAGCGTCTAGACGCTACGCCACGGTGACTCCGCCTGTCAGCAGAAGGGTTTGGAAATCAACAGTGCTTGTAGGCGTGAGATTATCGCCGAACAACTGAAGACTGAATAAATGCCGAGACGCTAACAGTGAGCATTATTGTCTTACATAGGGCCGGATTGACCATTAAGCACATGTTTAGGGCATCAAGAAGGTAGGGCACCACATACGTTTTTAATGATCTTTGAGCTCAGCGTTTCATTTCCTATTTATATAATATTTCAAACAATCTCAACATGACAGCTATGCAACAAGGCGGGCTGGACCACTTATCTATTAGGTATATCAGCAGATGTGACACATACGATAGTTGTAAGGATCTGATCAAACATTTTGAAATTTAAAAAAAAACCGGACAAAACTTCAGCTATAAATAAAGTGGAATAAAACAAATATATATATATGCAATCTTCTTTTGTTTAATTTCGATAAACAAAATGTTATTCTCTGGATTATCACTGTTTATTTGTGTAATTACATAGATGGAGCACCGGCACCATCTTAACCCAGGGCCTGGCTTGGTACTTGCCCCGGGGTCAAAGGGGGGAGGGGGTTTGAGGGGGGGGGGCACGAACATAGGCACCCAACGTTAATCTGTGCACGTTAAAGCTAAAGTCGAGTGTCGTGAAATGATAGCCATTACGCATCGGTCTGTAAGGCTGATAACCTGACTTACCTGTAATCTGCACAAAATTCAAACTTGAACTCGCCCAGAAATATATAGTCCCTTATATCTATATATATAGGCCTTTATTGGACAACATTATTATGTCTACCTTTTCTGGTTACTTTAACTAAACTCCACTTTTAAATGTATATCTCTTCGATATATATTCAGGGAGTTAATTGAGGTTTCTTGGAAACCGATTTACTCCTTGCCCAAGTATACAAGGGACTTCTTTTGTTACCAACGCCTGAAGTGTCGAAGTGACGCTATTCTCTTTGCCAGCTTCTTAAGCGTCCAGACGTGTTAATCTGTGCCTGTATAAATTTCACTTTTCAAGGCAATCTGGAATGTCTCAGTTTTTACATATGCTTGGGTAAGTTAATTATAGTTTGCGAGTACCTAAAAGGATGTCTGTAAAGTAGTCACTGCTGTAGAGAGATCAGTATCGGCTGTGTGATCTCACTTAGTTCGACCGTTCTTGATCGCTAGAGTAGCGGATTCGAACGTAGATCTTCCCCTGTACAGACTAAATAATTTATGCCCTCAATAAACCACCCATACTGGTAAAACTTAATACCCTTACAAATATGTACGTTTTAAACTAACTAGAGAATCTGTACATACGAAATGGGGACAGAATTGGGTCAGGACTTTGTTAATCAAAGTATGTGTGTGTGTGACCCAGATCAATGAGTGCTAGGGCGAGCGTTTGGAAATCTAGTGAATGCAGGTACTGACAGTAAATATTGGTGTCTGTGTGCAGAGGGAGGGGAGAGAGAGAGAGTGATATATGTGTTAGAACACTCTATCTATCTCCACTGTATATCTGACTTGCCTTCTCTTGCACTAAACAGACAGATGAATATAGGAGACTTGTGTCTCTTGGTCTGGAGAGACAATCTGAGGAATGAAACAGGAGAGCAGGGGGGAGTCAGCAGATGGGGGTTGATGACTGATGCTTGTTCTGTCTTTCCTGTCAAGATGTTACCCTCTTGGTGATGACTAATGTTGAGTTATTTTCTTGACAGGATGTATCTGTTGTGAAGAGCTGGCAGAGGATTCACAGTCCAACCAACATCCACCAACTATTACCCTGCAGTCAATTAACCCATCACCCACTTATTATCACCCAACTACCAATTGAGAAGACTGTCCTCCTCAAGATGGGGTACAATATAACCCAAACATCATCCAGTGCCAGAGCATGTGTGTAACTCAGGGACAGTACTGTGAGTTACTCGTGGGAGCAGGTGCTGTGTGCCTATCCAGTTGCTGTGGGCCTATCCAGTTGCTGTGTGCCTATCCAGTTGCTGTGTGCCTATCCAGTTGCTGTGTGCCTATCAAGGTGCTGTGTGCCTTTCCAGTTATTGTGTCCTCTATGGTGAGGTACTCTCTGACTATTTGATCCAGTGGAGCAGAATTTCCAGAATCAAAGACAGTCGAATCATCTGGAGCTGAAGGAGGCATCATAGACAGAAAGGATAGAAGCTAAGTCTGATGCTTCGTCTGATGTTGTTTTCCTCACAGCTCCTTGTTTCCAATGATGACATATAGTCACCTCCAGGACCGGCTGTCTGTATAGTTTCCTTGGGATCTAGACATTAGTGCTGAGATTCTTTCACTGATAGCTGGAATTCACTTCAATTGTTTTTGTACAGATATTATACTAAATACATGCATTCATTTTCAAGGCTGACTTAGGTTTCTCTATGTCACCTTCTTAAGTGTTTAGCAGTTGTATGTGTATGTATCTTCATTATATGTGTTAACATGGTTATGATAATGAACTATCATAACCTGGGGGCTTTCTTTAGTAAGTAGTAGGGGTGTCCAGCCAAGTGTGCCTAGAAATATTGTATTTATATACTGATATATTTTGTAGTGCCAATACTTGAGTTGCCCTACTCCAGAGATAAGTTGAGCGTATATTGGCCACGGGGAATCCCTTAGACCAATACGAGCCAAACGACTCAACATAATTATCTCTGAGTGCTGTTGGTTCTGAAGGAGGAATCCTTACATTAGGCACGCGACAGGAGTGATATGTGACATCGAGACGAATTATTTTATTGTACTGTGTTAGATCCCATATGACTCAGTCTCTCTCCACAAAACTGTCAGTCGCCTGCCGATAGCTTCGCACAAAGCACGACCTCTGTAGCACCGGGATCAATCACTAGGTATCTCCGCAAAAACTGCAGTCGTGAACTAAACGGCGCAGCCGTGAAAGGAGTCTACACCCTTCAGAGCGCAAGGCAAACGACTTGATCACTTCACTTATTCCTATGCCTGGTTGTCTTAGGAACCCTAACAGACTGGCTTGGGTGCCATTATTGCTGTAAAGACGGTTTTTGACCACTATCCGTTAACTGTTATG